GGAAAGTAAAAAGAGAGTTGTCATTCTTGGTAATGACTGAACCCAATTTGATCAAAAAACTCGCAAACCGCTGGTATCAAGCTCTAGGAGCTTGTTTCAAACCATTGAGAGTCTTTTGAAGCCGGCAAACATAAGAGGGTGCACGCTGATCAATAAATCCTGGAGGTTAATGCATATAAACAGTTTCCTGTAAATCACCATGTAAAAAGGCATTTTTGACATCTAATTGATGAATCGACCACTTTTTAGTCATAGCTAAACTTAGAACAGTATGAATAGTGGCCGGTTTAACTAGCGAACTAAAAGTCTCATCACAATCCACACCAATTTCCTGCGACCTTCCATCACATACAAGACGAGCTTTGTGCCTTTTAAGGTCACCGTTAGACTTGTATTTATGCTTAAAAAGTCACATACAATTAACAATATTCACCCCTGTAGGCCTAGACACCAAATCCCATGTCCCTGTTTTAATTAAAGCACTATACTTATCATTCATCGCCGCATTCCAATTATGGTCATTTAAAGCTTGTTTATAAGACTTTGGAAGAGGTAATTTATGCATGATGGAAGAAGTGGCTAGATTATACTTAGGATTTGGCTTAAATATGCCGCGACTACTACGTGTAACCGGCGGTGAGGGGGGCGGGGGCTAGTAGGTTGCAGCGGTGGTATCCCCCTAAGGGGTGGAGGGGTGTAGGCGAGCTGTGAGGATGGCAGTGTGGGCCGCAGGCTGGTTGCGGCTGGAGAAGTCACGCCGCAAGGGAGTGCGGAGTAGAGTGGTTGGCAGGTGGGGAGTGTGGGGCTGAGCTTGGTGGACTCTACTGCTTGGCCAAATGTAGGGGGGAAGGAGTTGGTCTAGGTGCAGCAGGTGGGCTTGAAGGTGTTAGGCCTCTTAGAGTGGGTCTGTGTCGAAACAAATAGTGAGACAGAAGGGGTGATGTCTCAGATTCACCCAAAAATTCATAATCCTTTAGTTGTAATTTCTCCATTTGTGATATGGGAAATTTGAGTCATTAAAGATGACATGTCTAGAGATGATGATTTTGTTAGTGGTGAGATCGAGACACCTATAACCACGGTGGTTGGGTGGATATCCCAAGAAAATGCAATGAGTGGACCTTGGAGCAAGCATTTGTGGAGCAGTGGCAGAAAGATTTGGGTAACATACATAACCAAAAACACAAATGTGAGAGTAGGAAGGTATGACTCCGAATAATGCTTGAGCCGGGGTTATATTTTTGAGGACCTTCGTCGACAAAATATTATGGAGATAGGTTGCGGTCTTAAGAGCATAATTCCAAAAATTTGGAGGGAGGGAGGCATGAAATAGCTAGCAATGTTCGTTTGACATTATTTAAGGTGTGGATCATTCTCTCGACTTTCCCAATTTGAGAAGAAGTATGAGGACATGAAAAACGAAAGACCAAACCATTATCTATGCAAAATTTTTTGAAAGGATCGTTATCAAATTCGCGACCATGTTCTCTTTGGAAAGATTTAATAGGCCTCTCAAACTGTGTGTGCACGTATTGTCTAAAATTCAAGAACGTTTGGTATGCTTGAGATTTATAAACAAAAGAAATGGTCCATACATAATGAATAAAGTCATCAAGAAGCACTAAATAATATTTACCATTAGTACTAAGAATGGGAGACGTCCACAAGTCGGCATGAATAATGTCAAAAGCAGAAATAGTATTGCTATTAGAAGAGTGAAACGGGAGTCTAGTATGTTTCCCAATTTGACAAGAATTGCAAAAAGTGGAGGCATGCTCCTTATTACAATCAATAAAATTATTACTCCTAAGAAAGCTTAAAGAAGGTGCTCCAAGGTGGCCTAAATGATCGTGCCAAGTGGTGGTGACACGGCCATGAGAGAAGTGGCAAGGCATGAAGTTGAAGTATTGTTGGTGACTGGATAGAGATCCCCAAAACTATTGCATCTCGTTATTACTTTCCCCGTGCGAAGGTCCTTCATAGAAAAACCATATGGGTCAAATTCTATAGAAACTGAATTGTTAGAGGTATATTTACGGACTGAAATTAGATTACGGGAAAACTCCTCAATCTGGAGTGTGTATTATTGATCAATATATATAGAGTTTTACAAGACTCGCCATTCTAGTATGATAAGGATCAGAAAATATAAAAATATTATCCTAATCTACGACAAATATCATCATAACTATAATATCTATCTTTTTTTTTTGTTGACAAGTGGTAACAAAATATATAAATGTATATATATAATTTATTTTCTACTCGGTGTCAAAAAAATTTTGCAAAAACTTCCAACCATTTTTTTTATTTCAAATAAAAATATAATAATACAATATATAATCTAACTAATTAATAAAAATATATAAGTTCACCAACAATACTATTATTTAAAAAAAAAAAAACAAAAAAAAAAACTTGCTACAAATAATAGTTACCAAGTTTTAAAAAAAATGATTATTATAAAGTAAAATAAAATCAAATAAATTTTCATAAAACGTTGTGCCGGTGAAAATTTATCAACGACTCGAAGGGTATTACTATAGATGAGTATATTGTACTACGGGTACTAACCTAAAATTTCTTTTTGTATAAGAAGTAGTATAAAAACTCAAAATCCATAAATTTCTTTCATTTTTTATTTATAAAATGTTACGGAGTATACATGCATCAATAACCTTAACATCTTTGATGTGGGTACAAGTACAAGTTTTCAAAATACAAGTATTATTTTTTGGGTATTGTTGTTGAATTAACATTGTAATTCATCGTAAAATTTAGTAAAAACTGTGCATGGCACACGTCTTAATCTAGTTATTATTTTTTGGGTATTGTTGTTGAATTACTAGATGCTGATATAGGCTTGCAAATGGCAAAGAATATGGGGATCTCGAAGCTGGTTCTGCAGATGGACAACAAGGCTTGTTTAGAAGCTCTCAGCAATGCTGCCATTCAAGGAGGAAAATACGTTCACATTCTTACTTCTTGCCGTAGATTAATTAGTTCCTTTAATAATTCTTTCAGTTTGTTTCATTGTTTTAGGGAGGGGAATAGGATAGCGGATCGACTTGCTAAAATGGGGGTCATCCAAGAAGAGAGAGTTATTTATTTCGATATGCCTCCGATCGAAATAAATAATCTTCTAAGGGAGGATGTTGTTGGTGTGGCTTGACCACGGTTTGTAGCTTGATGTTCTTTGCTTCTTGAATAAATGGACTTGACCCTCATTTGCACAAAAAAAAAAAAAAAAAAAAAAAAATCTAGTTATTTTAATATTTCGTACTTCAATCTTTCTTATTATTTCTTTCAAAATACATTTAAAATTGAAAAAAAAATAATTGAAAATATATTTTATACAAATTGAAAATATTGTGCATTAAACTAAAACATTTTCAATTTGTTTAAATACATTATCAATATTTTTCCTTTTAAGTTACAAATAATCTCAATTTGTTTAAATATATTTTCAATATTTTTTTTATTTGTAACTTAAAAAGAAAAATATTTCGTATGAAATAAGATCAATTAAAGGAATCACAATAAAAAGTAAAATTATCATTTAAAAGGTCAATATTGCACGTCTCTTTCAAATTAATTAAACAAAATACTTAGCTTATCATACATATATATCATGATAATGCAATAATGGAGATATTATAACTTGAGAAAAATTGTTGAATATCATTATTAACCAGTCCCACATTAATCATTGCTATGAACCTATAGAGAAAGGAATCAATAAAAGAAGAGAATGATAACAAGGGCCAAGCTATTTTTCTCATCACTTACCAATAACAATGAATCATACCCCTTTTTCTTTTTTTTTTTTCAAACTTCTGTTATATGAGTTTGATATTTAATTAATAGATGATTATTTATAATCAATGCAATAACCATCAAAATTTCAATTCAATTTACGTGCAATCATTTTGAAATAGGAGCATTTTGTCATATTCTAATGAACTTCATATATGCTACTATACTTTTTTCTTATTTTAAGGGGCTTTTGATCACTTTTAAAATAGAAAAAAAAAATTAAAAAATTTGACCATTTACTCTTACTTTATTAATAATTTTCTTAGGGTGTAGAGAGAGAAATAAGGAATGAGTGTGACATAGATGAGATCGATTTGATTACATGTCTTGGATAATAATGCCCTTAAGACCATTATGCTAGTTGGAAATCTTGGCATTCACTTGCAAAATCTTTACACTATTAAATTCAAATGGAGGAATTACATATTTGTTGAGTTCCATATATATTTTAATTCAATGAAAGATCTATTTTCAATTGATTAAAAATCCTAGTCTTTTGCCTAATTATAATAATATAATGTGGTCATTCTTCCACAAGAAATAAGGTTGTTGTAGATATAATCTGATTGTAATTAATAAAAATAAATTAAAAAATGAAGTTGGGAGTTGTTATTTACCAACCCCACGGAGTAATATGCAAGTATGCAACATAGAAGAATCATCCAAGATTATCATAGCTTCGAAGGAAAAAATTAGGTAAATGTGAGTAAGATAGAGACTAGGGTAGAATTAAAACACAATTCATTCATGAATTGAACATATAGTGGAGTGAAATAAAGGGAAAAGGTGAAAAAAAATAACTAATTGAGATGATGGATTCTAAATTAGTCCTAACTTCTAAGCCCACAATTTGCACAATGTCAATTTCTCATTTTCATGAGCAATTAAGATTGATTATACTCCATAACTTGAAACACCAACCTTAATTTCCTCTCTAAACTTGACTAAGGAGTTATCATTCAACTGGTTAACAAGAATGCAAGCAAGTAATAATCATGCCATTTAACTAATTAGTTGAGTTTTCGACTAAACCCTAAACAATCAATAACCTACACTGTGAATTTTCTAGCTACCATCTTCTACAAAACTCATTTAAGTCCTCTCTAGTCCCTAACATGTATCTTCATGAATGATATACGAGCTTAATGTCAAGATAAACTACGCGAACTAAAGCACACAAAAAATATCAAAAAAAAAGTCATGTATTCTTGTTATTAATGCTATGGAACAACACCATGTTAATGCAGCCCTAACATAGCAATTTCTCCACCCAAAAGTCACCGTCAAAGCACAAGTTACAGCTTCACGTACTTTATTAGAGACGGAGTAAAAAAAAAAATCAATGTCATGGATAAATCAAGCAAATATTCGACCGTTGAAAGCACTCCAACATTAACCGCCAAAACAAGCAGTCAAAAACGCGTCATCCACCCCCACCAACTGCCTCTTCAGGCTCCACCACCCGACCCGATAATTTTTTTAGGGTAAAAATTAAAAAATTAAAACAAAAACAAAAATCCCCTTACTTCTTCTGATCTAAATCCTGCAACACCACCCAACAACAACAACAACAACAATCAAATGGTTGTCACACATCTATGCTGTTGTGGACCCCACACATGATGCATCACCCGTTGTTGATAACACCGCCGTATTCCTCCCGCAGCCGCCGTCGCTGGCACCCTCCTCCACTCTCTCTCCTCCTCCGCCGCCGCCGCCGTCTCCGCCTCCGCTTCATCATCCGACAATTCAGCCGTCTCCTCTTCTTCGTTTTCCACTTCTTCGGTATCATCTCCGTCATCTTCCTCATCATCGGAAACACCTGCGCTTTTGACGAGATGCATCCTCAACCGTCCATTATCACGCGTTGCGCAAAGAATTTCCGGGTGTTCAATCATAACCCCAATAATCTCCAATCTCCCTTCATTTCTCACCGATTTCAACACGAAGTTTCTCCTCCCATTTTCACTCAACGACGTCAATGGCGGCGGAAACTTCCTCTCCTCCCACCTCTTCCCCACCCCCCTCTCTCTCCTCCTCGAAAAATGCCCTTCCGATGAAGACGAAGAAGACGATTCTCCGTCGTAATTCCTACAACAATTCCGACCCAGATCGTCGAAACTCGATATCATCTCATCGGAACTCTCAAACCCGATACTCTCCGTACACGACATCAGGTCTATATGAGCGGAATTACCCTTATCTCCGGCGGCGGAAACCGCCGGAGACCCGGCGATAGCTTCGATGGGTTTAAGGGGATTATTGTGATTATCAACGGCAAGGGTGAAATTACACGGTGTTTGGGAAGGTGGAAGAAGAGAAGAACAACCACCAAGTGTTTGATGAAATGCTTGAGAGAAGTGGTCTTCCTCCAAGGAAGGAGGAGGAAGGCCAAAGAATGAGTTCACACTATTATTCCTGCAAATGCTCGTCATCTCTTATATTTTGTGCTTTTATTTTTACTCGTATTTTTTTTCTCTCTTTTAATTTTTTTTTTTTAAATAAAACCCTTTAGGTCTATTTATTTTCTCATTTTTTGAATTGGGAAATGTTGGTTTTTTTTCAGGTAATTTTTTTATTTATTTTGGGAAGGGTGTGGTTGCTATAAATACGAAGGAAATAAGATGGAAGTAGATGGGGGATATGAGCTGGTAGTGAAGGTGATCCTACGTGGGTCCCTCTGTACTTTTTCGTTTTGTTTTATAATCAGACGGACTTATAATAACTTATTATAATATACGGAATATTTTAAAGAAAGAAATTGATTTAACGTTTAAATATTGTAAATCTATTTCGCATAAGAATCATCGTTTTTTGGGTGGGGTGTGAGAAATGTAGATGAGGATGGTTTTGCTGTGGGTAAGCTCAAATTTGCTATCTTCAAGGTGAGAACACAAGTCTAAAACCTGTGTAAAAAAGAAGCCGTTAGAAAAGGAAAAAAAAAAATGAAAGTTTCAAAATCTATGTTTTTTTTATGGGGATTAATTTTTGGTTGATTTTAAGGTGGTTTTTGGGAACACACAAGTTATAATGAAACGTAAATAATAAAAATAAAAATTAAATGCAAACGTAATTTATGGTAATGTTACTAATGTAGACAGGTCAAGCACAGCTACATGAATTAATCCTCTAGCAAAGGAAGAATATATAGAATATGTAAAATAAAAAAAATTTAAAATTTTTCACATTGAGTAAAAAAAAAAAAAAAATATGACGAATTAATCCCTATAATTTTGACTAAATAATCCCTATAACACTAACGAAATAACCTATAATAACTGGTTATACAGTATGACCAGCCATATATAAGAATTTGAGAAAAAAGAATATATAAAAGTATTGGAAAATAAAAAAACATTTATTCAAAAAAAAATAAAAAAATAAAAAAATAAGTACTCGAAGTATATAGTCATGGGCATTTTTTGGCAACATTAAGTTTGACTATATAGGGAAATTGTACTTTGTGTACTGTGAATTATCATCCGTAGGTGTGTACTTGTTTTATCCTTTGAGAATCCTTGGGACTTATCACCAAATTAAAGTGGATATTTATTGAAATAATCGGACATTCAGTTTTGTTTTGACCATTTTAATCTCGTGAAATTTTAATCTCCTGAAATTAAAGTAATAACCCCGTATTCTTTTCCTAATTTTGCTATGCTCTCAATCAATTTTATTTTATTTGTCATTTAAAAAAGATTTATGTGGTATATTACTAATCTAAGGTTATATAGTGTTCAACTTATTTAAAGGAATAATTAGGTTTTTTTAGAAAATATCGAATTAGATTAGACCATATATAATACGAGTATCTTTTTATTTTCTGGTTGCTTATCTTCAAATTTATTAAAATTTAAATTTTATAAGAATTTCGTAGTAGAAAAAACTCATTAATAAAAATCTAACGGCATCAAAAAAAAAAAAAAAAAATCACCTTAGATCAAAATTGAAATAATTTGGATTTGAGATAAAATAATGTGAATTAAACATAGCCTAAATATGAGTATAGGATAATAGATTGATATTCATTTAAGATTTACCATTGTCATATTTCAACCTTTTTGTGAATGAAATGAATATGTTTATGATCTATTGAGATATTAATGTATATTGTGATATGATATTATGAGAATAATATCATATGAGATATTATTGTGAAAAATATATGTGAACTATTGTGATAGATTTAGTTAATTAATTAAGATATTTAAGAATTTTTGTGTTAGATAATTCTATTGTCTACATATATTATATTGTGATAATTAGTTTATACTTTTAGGTCGTCATTATCTGTTGCCAAACGTGATCAATGATCTTTGGACTAGTTAAATAGTGCAAAGCCTAATAGAATGGTTTTTACAATAAATGTCACACTTTGTGGTGAAAGACCCATTAGTGGGCCCTTCATAGGGTGACGTACTGACGTCTATATGGAGATCGAAGAGTAGAGAGTTTGGGCTTGGTTTGGACTAATTATATATAGATACATAATTACATTTGACTAGGTTAATCATTTGATTAATCCCAAGCAATCAAGAAACACAAACCCTAATTTCTCTCTCATGCACCCCTCCATCGTGTGATGTGTGTATGGTGTTCGTGGTGGCCGGTTTCTCCCTCCTCTCCGTTCGTAGAAGGTTGTTCGAATGTGTTCGTGCCCAACCAAATAACATTAGCGCAAAGGTTCAATCCTAGCCTGTGGACTGGGTAGAGGAGCAACACTTGGGGCTCTTATTCTCCCTCAATTCATAGTCAATCATACGTGGAAATCACACATGAAAGGTATGAATAATGTGATTTTTTATGTGTTATGCATGTTGATCCTAAGTAGGTGCGAACAAATTTGATTCGTGAAATTCTACAATATAGTATCTAAGTTCCTACAAAGCTTATCTTATTCGAACTTATTAGCTCTTATATGAACTCTTTCTCAAAAATAAGTGAAAAAATGGTTCCAAATAATAGACTTAATCAAATATCCTTATTCCAATAAAATGAAAATCTTCGCTCTTCGACTTGACTGGCTGATTAGGCAAAGACGTGTTAGGTTGTTTAGCTAATTCTCAAATAAGCTTGCCATGCCACGTAAGATTTTAAGCTAATTTTTTGTGTAGCTATTTTGTGCCCCAATGGTTAGCTAATAGCTTGCTATTTAAATGAGCTTAACTTTCTCAATTATCTTTTAAAGTTTAATTATATTAGTATATTAATCTCTAAAATTTTAGAAACTTTTTTCTCAAGCAAATTAGCTTGGCCAAACTAATTGTATTTTTTAGCTTCAATGGTCAAGCTAATAGCTAGAGACTTTTGGAAATTGCAAGCAAGTCTCTAGCTACAACCATTGGACCTGCTCTTATAAAGCTAGAGACAAACTTATAAAACTACAACCATTGGAGTTGCTCTTATAAAGCAAGTACTAAAATGTTCTATTGAGGCCTGTTTTTGTGCAACTTATATAGACTCAATAAGCTTTGAAAATTATGAGTGTGAATAAGCTTTAACACAGACAAATATTTTACATCATTTGAACTTATTTTAATTTCTTTTACATTATTTGAATTTATTTTTTCTAAAATAAGATCAAACAAATAGATTATGTTTTTAAGAGATTAAAAAAAAAAAAAAAAAAAAAGCCTTTATCTATTATGGAGTATATGAGTAACTATGTTTTTTCATGGAGGTAATCTAATTTTGTCCATTAAAGTAACCCCATTGTATTATACAAGCTACATCAATTACTTAAAAACAATGCAATCTTACTTGTTTATTGGATTATCCCCTTTTTATGTTTTAACTATTAATAGAATTTGTTCAAAAAAAAAATAAAAAATATTAATAGAATAATTCTACATACTTGTTTATAAAAGTAACCCCATTTTTCCATTGCTTTAACATCTCATTCAACAAGGTAACTTGATCATCCTAGTAACTCCAATTGCTTAATTAAATGTTTATAATCATTATATGTGAAGTGATCACATTATCAACTAATGGCGTGACTGGCCACATATAAGGATGAACGAATTAAAATAGAAACTTGAAAAATACTTTGTTTTTGAGTACTAGTAAATGGGGTATTAATTTTGTCACAAATTTCAAAAATTCAACACTACAAGTATATTATTTTTTGGGGAATACGAGTATTTAATACGAAGTGTATATGAAGAATAAATGGTCCAAGATGGGAGCAAAATCCCATTAGTGGGTTTTCCAATTCCATTGGTGGATTACGGGGACTGCAAATAAAAGATTAATAATGGCATGTATTTGTACAATGTACTGTATTTTTTTTATGGAAATATACAGTGTATTGTATTGTGTACTGTGTAATAAAGAATCTGATTGGCTGGTTGATGGCTAACAATTTTTCAGATTCAGGGTTTCACAGTACGTTTTTGTCTTAGTAAAGGCACGTTAATAATGTCTGCTCGTGTAGAAGGGTCTAGTGTCCAAGTATGCATTATCTAATTATCCATTTGAATTTGATTATATGTTATACGAATGGTGGACATTTGATGTAGAATTGACGAATTGTAGATCAGATCATGTTGTCCATCTAGTCTGTACGGAGTACTCAAATACAGCAAATTTGCCAACTTGTTGTAAAATGTAAGGAGAAAGATCCTGATCGTATCTTAACCTTCACGTTTTTTTGGATCATTATGTGTGGGTCAGACAATTTGACAGTAAGGCGGAAGGATAAGGGATCCCCACCATCGAAGTATCTCTATTGGGGATTGAACCCCCAACCTCAAGATTGGAACAAAGGTGTAATATTTCCTGCTAGATCAAGCTAAGCTTGGTACGACTCGGAGTAAGTCCCTGTTCTTTTGAGCTGATGTGGTCTGCTCTGTTTTGCTGAGCCTTGCTGTGCTTAGTATTAATAATCTGCTGACACCTACCCTACTCTGCTAAAAAAAACAAGGTCTAACTACTTGTGAAATTCTTGGTTGTATCTTTTAGTATAGAGTTCGTGTAAATGAGATATGTAATGGTAAGTATGAATGTATGATGCTTGTCATGTGTTCTCGAATTAATCCAAAGTGATAATATTAATAGATTGGGATGGAGTAACTACTCTGTCTTATACACTAAGACCTGGCATTTAATAGCATGTTAAATTTCAAAAATATAAATGGGTTTTCTTAGATGATCGGATAAGAAGGAATACAGTTTGATCTTAACACAAATTAAAAAGATACTCCTTTGTTTCTTAATAAATAACTCGGTCAAACTTGTCATTAAATTAGTTTGACTCTAAAATAAGATAACTTTGACCACATTTTGTGATTTATGCAAAAGAACTAAGTTAGCATGTGGAGTCTTATTAGATTTGCCTTATTGTCAGATTTTCATGGAAATTGATTTTGATTGGCACACCCCAAATTGATATTGGCACACCCCCATGTAGAAGAGCATTAAAAACTTTGCTCTCACATAAGGTGTGCCAAAATTAACTTATGGTGTGCCAAAATCATTTCCCGTTTTTCATATGCCAAATTTTATTTATTTATTTATAAATTTCACTTATGCGTAGCTGAAAATATCAATGGAGTTGAAGCTTAAAGATGCACATTATTGAAAACCATAAAAATTGCAGTGTGAATCGAAATTTTAAGGACGAAGGGATACAACTAAATATTATTTCCTATATTTCAAGATGATGTTCCTCTTTTTAACACTATCTACGAAGTATTAGTTATAAAACTTTATATTAACGCCCATTATTAACAACATTTTATGTGATAACATTGTTTTTTAATGTTAAAAATGCTTGCTAAAATCATAAAAAGTGTATTATCTATGTCTATCTTAATCCAACCAGATATTTATCCGACCTAATAACTTTTACCTTAAATTTATCCAACTTACCGCCTAATAACATTCGACCCAAACATAACCTCATGAACTCGAATACACTCGCTTTAAACTTGACATGACACAACTTGAAGTCGAAATTAAAACTGGGCTAAATTTGACTCGACTCAAACCCCCAATTTGCACTTATAAAGCTAAACAATCCGAAATAACCTAAGCAAAAATTGACCAGATCCAAACCTGATAAACATGAATCGTACCTATATTGATATGACATGACCCAACTTGAGTATGACCCGAGACCAACCTAACCTCATCCAAACCTGAGTTGAATACCCGAACTTACATCTTTGGACATGATCGATTATGTTTTTACCTTAGGTTTAATTTTAATTACACCGTATCAATCTAAATTATGGCGTTTGGTTTGTAGAATATAGGTATGAGGTATGAGTTTAGAATGACTAAAACTCATACCATATGTTTGGTAGTCAAAAGTATGAATTTTAAACCTATACCTCGAACCCATGAGGTATGGGGTTTAGAAACCTTGGAGGGTAGGGTTGTTCAGAGTGCGGTCTGGACCGCACCAAACCGCAATTTTGTAATTTGGTGTGGTTTGCGGTTTGAAAATTGCGGTGCGATTTCCGAAAATAACCAAACCACACTTTTGCGGTTTGGTGTGGTTTCCAAAACATTTTTTAGTGCGGTTTGCGGTTTGGACCGTCAAACCTCTAACCGTTATGCCAATTTTATAATATTTTTATAAAAAGTATATAAAATAGCTTAGAAATATGATATAATTTTTTTACTA